ACGCGAAGCAGCGGCCGACAAAATACGAGACATGTGAATTTTGCGGCGCAGCAGGACATCGACTCTTGGCGTGTTGGATAATGAAAAAAGCACGAGCAGAGCTGCAGGGCAACAACAGTGCGGCACCCCCGAAGTCAAAAAACGTGGCGACTTCGGAGCGGGCGAAAAAAGGAGGACATGATGGCGCGAATTTAAAACGCCACGACCGGCCGGCACCAGGGGAAATCGCCGAGACAAATGGAGGCTCCGCGAAACAAGACTCTGCACCGACCGGGAAACTCCAGCCGAACACCCACGAAAGTAAGAATTCGTTAAAGTTATCCTACAAAGATACTTTAACTAAGAATATTACTTCTCGTGATTTTCAAGCCTTCAGGGGAGATTTTGAGGCTAAGACAAAGCCCTCAGAAATTATTCAGGTACCTGAGAAGTTGGGCAAACCACTCCGGAGCGTTGAAAAGGGTCGTGCGTTCCAAGGAGTTAATACTCTCTCCCCGCAGCACAGTGTTAAGGCTCCCCATTGCCCACAGGAGAGGCCTACACAGCTGCAACGGCTTAAGAGAAGGTTCCAGGCCAAGACGAAGCTGAATCAGCCTCGGATAAATCCTTCTAACCCTACTCAGTTGGAAACTGATACGGAGTCAGCAGCTTCGAGCGCAGGATCTGGGGATGATCTCTTCGACGTACCCTATGATCCAGTAAGCGAGACCATCTACGGCTACTCGGAGCGGCAACAACCACTACTCCTCGAGGTTCTCTGCAAAGGGCGACGCCTCCAGGCACTGGTGGACAGCGGTGCATCTCACTCGGTGTGCGACCGCGAGACATTGGAAAAAATCGGAGAGAAAGCGGGGGAGACACAATTCTCTGCAACAATGGTGGACGGTACGAAGCTTCCCATCCACGGCAAGTCAACACTGCAGCTGCAGATAGGGGCGTTAAGGTGGAAGCCGACGTTGCCGATCACCAATATCAAGGGACTAGATTTCATCTTGGGGCGAGATTTCCTGAAGCGGTTCAACCCCGAGATTGATTGGGTCAACAGTAAAGTGTGCATCTACAACAACGGGAAGCGGATAGCACTGCGAAGCTGGACGGATACAGGGGATATTCCTGAAACGACACTGGCACGGTTCGAACGGACGGTGAACGAGAGTAACACGGGTTACCTAGCACTGGTCATGGCAGCAGCAGAGGAGGAGAAGCCGAGTTCGGAGCTACCTGCAGCAGTAAAGGAGGTCTTGGAGCAGTACAAGGATATAATGCCCGACGACCTACCCGCAGGCGTACCTCCAGCACGCACCCACGAGCACGAGATCGTGGAGGAACCAGGTGCGAAACCCATCTCACGTGCACCATACCGACTGAGTCCGACCGAGCTGACAGACATGAAAAAACAGATCGAATATTTACTAGACAGACAACTGATCCGCCCATCCACATCTCCCTACGGTGCACCAGTTCTCTTCACCCCAAAGCCAGACGGCAGTCTACGGATGTGCATCGACTACCGCGCACTGAACAAACAGACAGTTAAAAATAAATACCCCATACCGCGCATCGACGACTTACTGGACCAACTGCGTGGTGCAACAGTTTTCTCGAAGCTGGACCTACGGTCGGGTTACTGGCAGATCAAGATGGCGGACAACTCGATCCACAAGACGGCGTTCCGTACGAGATACGGCTCCTACGAGTACTTAGTGATGCCGTTCGGACTTTGCAACGCACCAGCGACGTTCCAGGCGGAGATGAACCACATCCTACGGCCCCTGCTGGACGAATGCGTAGTAGTGTACCTGGACGATATCCTCATCTACTCCAAGAACATGAAGGAGCACGTGGAGCATCTGCGGAAGGTGTTCGAGATCCTGCGGAAAAATAAGTTCTACGTGAAGCTGTCGAAGAGCGACTTCGCCCTGAAGAAGGTGCAGTTTCTCGGGCACATGGTGAGTGCCGAGGGCGTACACGTGGACCCGCGGAAGATCGAAGCCGTTAAAAAGTGGAAAGTTCCGGAGAACGTGAAGGAGTTACAGCAGTTCCTCGGCTTCGCCAACTACTACAACAGGTTTGTGCCGCAGTACGCTAAGATAGCAGCGCCACTGACCGACCTACTGAAAAAGGATACGCCCTTCAAATGGGATACTCCTCATCAGCAAGCCATGGAACAGCTACAGACAGCACTGACCACAGCGCCAGTACTCATCCTACCGGATCCAGACAAGGACTACGTAGTTGAAGCAGACGCTAGTGACCAGGCAGTCGGAGCAGTACTGATGCAGGATCACGGGAACGGTTTACAGCCTATCGCCTACCTCAGTAAGAAGTTACACGGAGCAGAACTGAACTACCCCATTCACGACAAGGAAGCCTTAGCTATAGTCGTAGCCTTCAAGGCGTGGAGGTGTTACCTAGAGGGAGCCAAGACCACAGTATACACTGACCACTGCAGTCTCAAATACCTGAAGTCGCAGCCGACGCTCTCACGACGACAGGTGCGGTGGGTGGATTTCTTGGAAACTCACTTCCACTACGACATCGTCTACAAACCCGGGCTCCACAACAAAGCTGACGCGTTGAGCCGCCCCGGTCATGTAGCAGGCATCCAGCTCGACGGGATGAACCCTCTGCTCAAGGGTCTATTCCAACATGGGTACTCCGTGGATGGCGAGATCGCAACGGCAGAGAAACAGAAGCTGTTACAGTGGGAGAAAGACTTAGCGGTAAGGAAGGGTTCAGGAAAGATTTGGGTACCGAATTACGCCCCGCTACGGCAGATCCTATTAGAGGAATTCCATGACGTACCTTACGCGGGACATTTCGGGAGCAACAAGACGTTAGCGGGAATAGCGAAGTATTACTACTGGCCCCAGATGGCAGCAGACGTGCAGCAGTTCGTCACCTCATGCGACACGTGCCAGCGGATGAAGAGTAGCAAGCAGAAAAAAGCAGGGTTACTTCAACCTCTACCCGTACCGGAGCAGCCATGGCAGGTCGTTAGTCTCGACTTCATCACAGGACTTCCCTCGACCTCACGGGGACACGATTCCATCCTCGTAGTAATCGATAAGTTCTCCAAAATGGGTCATTTCATACCGACCAACGCCACAGCTACAGCTGAAGCAACTGCTCGCCTCTTCTTCGACCGCATCATCACCATCCACGGCATCCCCGCTACACTTATCTCAGACAGAGACCCAAAATTCACAAGTAAGTTCTGGAAGGAGCTTATGGGACTGCTGGGGACCAAGCTTGCCATGTCTTCAGCATACCATCCCCAGACTGACGGACAGACGGAGCGACTCAACCAGGTGGTTGAACAGTTACTGCGTACAGCTTGCAAAGACGACATCAGCCACTGGGACACACAGTTACCGACCTTAGAGTTCGCTTACAACAACGCCTCGCATGCGGCCACAGGAAAAACCCCTTTCTTCCTGTGCTACGGACGGGAACCACTTACACCACAGCAGCCAACCACACCGGCACACGTCCAGGCCGCACACGACTTCGTCACCACCATGCAGCAGCTATGGGAGAAGACTCAGCGGCGTCTCACCACGATGCAAAACTCCCAGAAGCAGTATGCCGATCGCCAGCGACGAGATCACTCAGTAGCAGTCGGAGATCAGGTGCTTCTCGACACGCGCAACTTGAACCTGTCTCACCTACCATCCAAACTCCGGCCTCGCTTCTGTGGTCCTTTTCTCGTGGAGGCACAGGTGACACCAGTTACATTCCGCTTGCGCTTACCAGATACGTGGAAGCTTCACAACGCTTTCCATGTTCAGCTACTGAAGCCCTACAAGGACCCCAACCAACAGTTCCAGGGACGGCAGCTACCGCCACCTCCACCTGTTCTTGTGCAGGATGAACCAGAGTACGAGATCGAGCGCGTTCTCACTCATCGGCGCCGCGGCGGCAAGACCCTCGAGTTCCTGATACGCTGGAAGGGATATGACCCCACTGAGGACAGTTGGGTTGCAGAAGCTGATATGGGCAACGCACGCCGTGCTCTCAAGGACTATCTTGTCAAGCAGGGTGTATCTTACGCCACCCAGCTTTGAGGGGGGAACGTGTGAGAGTACGACGGCTTATGCTTGTTATTCATGCTTGCTTTTATTCCATTACGCTATTGCTAGCTTAGGTTTATTTTATGCATGCATGAATTGCTTGAATTCCTAGGCTAGGTGCTTTCCTATATTTTATTATAGTTATAGCACCGCGCTAGGTCACGTACACCGAATTCTAGGCTATTCGGTTGCCACCGAAATGCCTTCTACCGAATTCGGGAAGGGTCTGTTTGGGACGCTTCGCGACCCGCGGAACCTTCGCGTAACACCTGGCTACTGCCCCTTGTGTCGAGCCTATATATAGCCTCGTGTTGTACCCAGGTGATCATTCAATTCACATTCTCTTTTCTGAGCTCGATCCTAGATCCTCACAATGAGGACCAGGTTGGCAAGTTTGACGCTCGAGCGCTCTGCGGTAAGTTTTAGACACTGTGGTTTCCGCGGTATTGCCTTGAAAAATGAATATACTACTAAACACGGTGTTTGTGGTTTTTATATACGCAAATGGGGTCACATGTTGGCCGGAAAGAGGTTGGGTCCGGTCTGCTAGTGTCGTATGCCTGGGGGAAGCTGGTGGAAAATTGGGAGTTGGTGCTTTCGGTGCAGAGCGGGATAACATTTCCTGGTCTTGGCAGAGGAACATACTCGAAGGAGGAAATACTTGACTGGCTGATAACGACATGCCGTGATCATTTCGAGGGCCCCGAGAACAAGAAAGAAGCCGACCTGGCAGAGTTGGATGACGATGCGGACTCATACTTTACGTGCGAGCTGTCATCCGGGGAAGAGGAGGAAGAGAAGGAAGCCACGGAGGCGCATGCCGACACAGGGGTGACAGATCCGTCTACGCTTATGCATTCGCGGAAGCCGAGGTCGCGCCATGTCCAGTCGGGCCCGTCAAATGTGTCGGTGTTGACCAAGGGGGGTATGGCAGATCCTTTGCAGAGCAGAGAGGCAGGGACGATGCACATCAACGACACTAAGAGTGGGTTCATTAAGGGTGCACTTCAAGAGGCCGAAAGACTAAGGGTGCAGCAGCAGAGACAAGCGGAATGGAGTTCACAGGAGGTGAAGATGGGAGAGAATGTGGCTGCTCGGTCGATGGGAGGAAGTAGCGTTGAAAGGCCGATCGAGCAGCGCAGACAAGGCGGAGAGTCATCTGCAAATAAGTCGAAAAATCTTCTTGACGACGACCGAAAAAGTGGATCGCCGGAAATTGCGGCGAATACGGATGCGTCAAGAGAGAGGGGTGGGAAGGTCGGTGTCGATGGAGAGGCGCTTCAACAGTCCTTGAAGCCATTATAAAACAGTATGTGGAGGAATTGATAACCTGGGCATCACAGAAGCAGACGGCTGATGTCACATAACATCAACGGCAGTGTGCAAAGTCGCTGAAGGAAGAGATACTGGGCGCAGTGCATGGGAAGCGACACACGGGGCGAGAGGTGGAAATTGGAGGAGCTAGCGTGCTGCATTCGCCTGCAGCTACGGCCGCAGGTGTTTTGTTGGTGCCTTCAATTCCACATGCCGCCCCTTCCACCCCCCTGCAGCATAATATCATCCATGGCATGGCTCGGGGGGTTTCGGTGGATGTGGAAGCGGTAGATAAGGAAGTAAGAAAAGGTGGTGAGAGAGTGGAGATCGAACAACAACAGATAGGTGAGGGCAAAGGGACGGTGCAAGAGGGGGCGAAGGTGGTAACGGGGGGACTATTGGCGCATACAGGTATGGAGGGTGCTGCTGAGGGTGTCGGAGAGGACGTGCCGAACGATGAAAGAGGAGGCAAAATCGACGAGGTGGAAGAGAAAGAACACGGGAGTTCGGACGGCAAGGAGGCAGAGAGGGTGGAGGAAACTGTGGTAGACAAGACGAAAGCAGATTTGGAAGTTCAACTAGCAGACATGGAAGCGGAAGGGAAGTGCCTGGCAGCGAAGGAGGAGGAGGAGAGAATGCGGGCTGCGGAGCGGATGAGGGCTCTGGGGTTAGAGAGGGCGCAACTATCTGCTGCACGACTTCGATTGAAGCAGAAACGGGAACCAGAGAATCAGGATGGTGAGAAGTTGGTTATGGGAACCTATGGTGGAGTCAGGCTTCTCCAAATGCCTGAACATTCAGATGGGGAACGTGGGACGAAAAGGCGGAGGGAAGTGCAGGCGGAACATAGCGAGTCGCAAACAGGTGCAGATGAAGCGATTGCTAGTGATGGGGATGGGACCGAAGGAGCGGGCAAGAAAGGGAAGGTTTGTGTTGAGCCAGACAGTCTGGGGAAGGTGTACGGTGTAGAAAAGCCATTCAAAGCAGGTGGGTTTTTCCGGCGGAAGAAGGGCACAGCGGCCGGGAAGTTCTGCTCCGAACAGACAGTTGGAGGGAAGAAGAGAAATCTGGGGAATTTCGACAGCGAGCGGAGTCGGAACTACAGCATCGCGATATGTTGGATGGCATACCATCCAGATACTGACCTCCTCACCTACGACATGGATGAGAAGGACGTCAAAGCGTGGTCGGGCCATCTGAACCTCGTTAGGCGTGTGCCGACAGGAGTCTGGAGCATCCTCAACGAGCTGCACATTTCCAGGATTGAGAAGTGAGTGACGTATCTTGCACTGCTTTGTCGGAGTATATGGTGTGTTCACAAGTCAGTGCTTGTTGATATTGCCCTCCCAATAGTTTTGGTGCCGTTGTGAAGAAAACCAACGAGCGTCTGGCAAAGGGAGCGGAATGGCAGACTGGACTCTGCGAAGGAATCGGCTTGGCAATGCTGCTTGGCTGGACGGGTGTGGAACCGGCCCCAGACGGAGTCCCGGCGGCAGTGTGCGCTGCTGGAGTAGCATCTGCGCTCTACGCTTTATGGGGAGCCTCGATTGGTACTCCTGCAGACGCTTACAAAACTGGCGCCATGACCGTTGCGAGCGGCATCATGAACAAAGAGGAGCTGTCGAAGCATGCGGCAGAAGCTGCTCGAAGCGGCGTAGTTGCAGTGCAGCAAGTTTCAGACAGACAACTCATAAAGAAGGAATGGCCCTTTGTCTTGGAGGGCAAAATTGTAGAGATCCTGAATCTAGCCAACCTTGAACAGTCGTTGCACTCCAGGTCTCTTACCCTCATCGTCTGCCTCGACAACTGGCTGCTCATATGTCTCATCGTCGGCCCTCTCTACATCTGTGTCGGCCACTTGCAGCACCTGTAGAACACCGATACCTGGGGGCTGGGAAATCGGCCCCACCCCCCATTGCATCACCTACGTGAACACCCACATCCCCTGGCTTTGAAAAGTTGGCAGAGCATAGCCTCTTCGCTGCCGGTCATTCTGCGTGAGACATCTCCGGTCACCCGCCGCGTCTTGGGAGACCATCTCTTTCGCGTGTTCCACGAGTCTTACAGCACCATCTGCCATCCTCTGCGTACGATCCACATTCATCGTACCAAACTCAGCATCCTCGCATTGACTCTGCCCCATTCCTAGGTTTGAATTTCGCTCTTGCATCTCTGCATGCTTCTGCGTTCTTTTTCCTGCAGCCTTTGCTCTCCTTTTCTCCCTCTCCCTTTGCCTACGCGCGACGTTGACATCATCTCCAGAAAGATCATCTGCAGATCCAGTTGCCCCCTCCGCCGGCCTCGCCTCCAACTCCCTCGCCATCCTAATCTGTTTTACCGGGCCAGGGGCAATCGTGATTCCGCGTTGCGTTGTCTGCCTTGCACAGGATGCTGATATTGTCGTCGTAAAATGGGATGCGATATCAGGACCTTGTCTTACAGATTCCCCCCGTTCCACTCCTCCCTCTGAATCCTCCTCCGGCCGATCTGGCAGACCCTCTACATTGCGACTCTCGTTAGCTGTTCCACCAGGATCTGCTTTGTTATCGCTTTGCAGTCGTTCCTCTGTCGTGTTCTCTTGCTCGTCCTCCATCGCCAAACGTGCTAGCTCATCCTCCACTTGCTTTTGCACCAACTCCATTTCCCTTATCCGTCGTTCGGCTTCTGCCTTCTTCCATCATCCTCTTCAAGGCACTTCCGCCTTGCCTCTGCCATCAAAAGTGCTGCTGCCCTCGCTGCTCGCCTCTGCGCCGCCAACCGTTCCTGTTCGACTCTTAGTTTCGCCTCTTCCGCCTCTCTAACAGTACGCTCCGCCTCCTCTAACGTTCTCTGCCGCTCTGCTTCCTCTTTGCGCCGCTGTCGTTCCACCTCCTTCCTCGCACGTTCTTCATTCGTTCTCGCACGTTCGTTCTTTCGTCCTTCTCTGTCCTTTCCCCACACCAATCACAGCCGTATGTTCGCTTCGAACCATCTGCACCTGCCTTTCAACGCTAGTCTGTTCCCCTCCCGTGTCTGTTCGTCTTTCCGACTCCAACCTCCCCTGTCGGCCTGCAAACCCCCATCGCTCCACCATGTTCGCGGCTGCCTCGAGCGCGTCATTTGGGGAGTTGTCACCCGCAAAAGGCTGGGAGATCTGCGGGCCATTCGTCGGGTTCGGTTGTTCCATCCCACCTCCTGTGAGCATATTGGTGAGATTGGCGTACTGACAAGAACTTGGCCGACGTGTATCCTCCCAGACAACTTCTCATCCACCGCTGCCATGATTTCGGCTTTCAAATTCGCTAGCCTCTGGCAATTCTCAGCCATCGCCGATTTGACGTCCGCAAGTGTTTCTTTGACGTTGGCGACCACAACCTTCCTCATCGTTTCCATGTAGTCATTGGTTAGAACCACCCTAAGCCTGCCCTCCAGCGCCGCACGGCCCATTGCCGCCACTGCACGCTGAATTGTTTCGGCTACGCTGCGATGAAGCCCATGGATAGAAGAGTTGATCTCGTTCATCGAGATCTCAATAGCGTCTCGTATTCTCGTGCAACTGCATGCTGAATTGTTTCGACTACGCTGCGATGCAGCCCTTGGATAGAAGTGTTGATTTCCGTGCGTGTCTGCGCTGCCCTCTGTCGTTCGATGATTGCTATCGCCTTAGCTTCTCTATATTCCCACAGCATGTTTTCAGCATCTTCGTTGTAGTCCTCTGTCCACCGGGCAATGCGCGTGCATGCAGGTGGAGCTGGCGGAGGTTCCCACTAATCCTAGCATTCTGTTGTGTGGAGGTGCTAACCATCGCCTGCGCGACGCGCGTAAGACGTCGGATGACCTTTGCCATTCCGGCGACACCTTCACCAACTCTGGTTGATCCCGCCTCACAAACCCATCATCTGTCTCCTCTAGTATGGCCGCTCCTTGCATCACGCTCTGCCACAGCAAGTTCTCGGCTTCCCCCCACTCTTGATCTATCTGCGTCGTAGCACTATCGCGGCCCTCACCACTTCATCACCTGTCACCGCCTCCGCCATCCTCTCTTCCCGCTCAAACCGCAGCCTCTCTGCTTGTAATCTGGATCGTCGCGTGGCCACCTGCTCGTCCCACCTACTGCGCATGTTCTCAACCTCTTGCATCGCCCTCGTTGCAGCTGCTGCTCGCTCCCGTTCAGCGTCTGCCAACCTTTGCTCATCCGCGGCGATTTCCCGTACCGTCTCATCATCCAAAGGTCCAGATGCTTGAGATGCATTTCGCGCATTCCCTGCAGCTTCCGTCTCCCCGTTTGCTCTCTGCCCTGCCACCGCACTATCCCGTTCAATCTCCTCCCGTGCGCTCCGAGAGTCTTCCGCCAATATCTGTCGCAATGCCTCGACCTCTACCCTTGCCATCTCTAAAGCATGTAGCCTCTACCGACCCCCCTATGCCCTACAGTATTCTCGTTCCGCCCTAAGCCGCGTGACAGCTGCTGCCAACTCCTCTTCTACTTCTATACGCGCCCGCTTTTCGGCAGCCCTCACCCTCGCTGCCTCCTCGCGCCGTTGCCGAGCTTCCAATTCATCCACCCATCTGCGGCGCATCTCCTCAAGCTCTGCAGTTGCCCTATCTTTGCCTCGAGTTCGTTCTTGTCCCTCGTGTACCCTCACATGCTCTGTTGATGTAGTTACATTCTCTACTCCCATTTCAACGTCTGCGTTCTGCCGATGCACCTCCGTCGGTCGGCGAGCCTCCGGCGTGGCAATGCGCTGCTCCTCCCTTGCAATGCTCGCCTCCTCCACGCTGAGCTGTATCGCCTCTGTATCAACCCTGCCCTCAACCCTGCGCATTTCATCCTCTCTCTATAGAATCGCCTCTACTTCAACCATGGCCCTCTCTACCACCACTCTACACCGCTCTATTTCCTCTAGTCGAGCTAACGCCTCTGCCTCCTCCTTCAACCGCTCTGCAGCCTCTACCATCTGCCGTTCATGCTCAACTCTGCAGAGATCCTCTGCAGCCCTGGCCCTCTCTGCATCCTCACTTCCATGCCGCGCCTCCTCCTCTCTTCGTAATCTCGCCTCTGCCTCATTCCTCATTCTCTCTGCCGCCTCAACACTCAGCCGTTCCTCCTCCACTGTCTTCCGCTCTTCTACAGTCTTCGCCCTGTCTGCCACCTCTATTGCACGCTGAGCCTCCTCCTCTCTGCGAATATTTGCCTCTGCCTCCGCCATCATCCTCCCAGCACTCGCTTCTCTAGGCTGTTGATCCTCCTCTCTCCTTTGATCCTCCGCGGACTTGGATCTTTCTGCAGCCTCTACTACACGATGCTCATCCTCCATTTCACGTGATATCGCCTCTGCCATCAGCCGTTCCTCCTCCGCTTTCATCCGCTCCTCTACTTCCTTCGCTCTCTCCGCCGCCAGTTTAGCATGCCGCTCCTCTTCCTCTATGCGAACCATCTCCTCTGTATCCTCCCTCCCTCTTTTTGCAGACTCTGCCCTTTGCAGTTCCTCTTCCGCTCTCAAGAGCCCTTCTGCAACCCTCGCCCTCTCTGCAGCCTCCCTCAAACACCGCGCCGCCTCCTCTCTGCGTTGTGTGACCTCTACCTCCACCCTGGCCCTCTCCCTTTGCCGTTCCTCATCGGTTCTCCTCCGCTCCTCTATGGCCTTCGCTCTCTCTGCAGCCTCTCTTGCAAGCCGCGCCTCTTCCTCTCTACGAATTGTCGCCTCTGTCTCCTCCCTCGCCCTCTTTGAAGCATGTGCCCTCTGTCGTTCGTCTTCCGCTTTCAAGAGCTCCTCTGCAACCCTCGCCCTCTCTGCAGCCTCCTTCGCACACCGCGCCTCCTCCTCTCTGCGTAGTGCCGCCTCTGCCTCCACCCTGGACCTCTCCCTTTGCCGTTCCTCGTCGGTTCTCCTCCGCTCCTCTACGGCCTTCGCTCTCTCTGCAGCCTCTCTTGCAAGCCGCGCCTCTTCCTCTCTGCGAACCATTGCATCCGCCTCCTCCCTCACCCTCTTTGAAGCATCTGCCCTCTGCCGTTCCTCCTCCGCTCTCAAGATATCCTCTGCAGCTACCCTCGCACGCAGCGCCTCCTCCTCTTTGCGTTGTGTGGCCTCTGCCTCTACCCTGGCCCTCTCCCTTAGTCGTTCCTCGTCAGCTCTCCTCCGCTCCTCTACAGCCTTCGCTCTCTTTGAAGCCTCTCTTGCAAGCCGCGCCTCTTCCTCTCTGGGAACTATCGCCTCCGCCTCCTTCCCGCCCTCTTTGAGGCATCTGCCCTCTGCCGTTCCTCCTCCGCTCTCAAAAGATCCTCTGCAATCCTTGCCCTCTTTGCAGCTTCCCTCACACGCAGCGCCTCCTCCTCTCTGCGTAGTGCGGCCTCTGCCTCCACCCTGGCCCTCTCCCTTTGCCGTTCCTCGTCAGCTCTCCTCCGCTCCTCTACGGCCTTCGCTCTCTCTACAGCCTCTCTTGCATGACGCGCCTCTTCCTCCCTGCAAACCATCGCCTCCGCCTCCTCGCTCGCCCTCTTTGAAGCATCTGCCCTCTGTCGTTCCTCCTCCGCTCTCAAGAGCTCCTCTGCAACCCTTGCCCTCTCTGCAGACTCCCTCGCACGCCACGCCTCCTCCTCTCTGCGTAGTGCGGCCTCTGCCTCCTCTTTGCGAACTATCGCCTCCGCCTCCTCCCCCGCCCTCTTTGAAGCATCTGCCCTCTACCGTACCTCCTCCGCTCTCAAGAGATCCTCTGCAATCCTTGCCCTCTCTGCAGCTACCCTCGCACGCAGCGCCTCCTCCTCTCTGCGTTGTTTGGCCTCTGCCTCCACCCTGGTCCTCTCCCTTAGCCGTTCCTCGTCAGCTCTCCTCCGCTCCTCTACAACCTTCGCTCTCTCTGCAGCCTCTCTTGCTAGCCGCGCCTCTTCCTCTCTGCGATCTATCGCCTCTGCCTCCTCCCCCGCCCTCTTTGAGGCATCTGCCCTCTGCCGTTCATCTTCCGCTCTCAAGAGCTCCTTTGCAACCCTCGCCCTCTCTGCAGCCTCCCTCACACGCCGCGCCTCCTCCTCTCTGCGAAGTGCGGCCTCTACCTCCACCCTGGCCCTCTCCCTTTGCCGTTCCTCGCCAGCTCTCCTCCGCTCCTCTACGGCCTTCGCTCTCTCTGCAGCCTCTCTTGCAAGCCGCACCTCTTCCTCTCTGCGAACCATCGCATCCGCCTCCTCCCTCGCCCTCTTTGAAGCAGCTGCCCTCTGCCGTTCCTCCTCCGCTCTCAAAAGATCCTTTGCAATCCTTGCCCTCTCTGCAGCCTCCCTCGCACGCCGCGCCTCCTCCTCTATGCGTAGTGCGGCCTCTGCCACCCTGGCCCTCTCTGCGGCCTCATCCCTTTGCCGTTCCTCATCAGCTCTCATCCGCTCCTCTGCAGCCTTCGCTCTCTGTGCAGCCTCTCTTGCACGCCTTGTCTCTTCCTCTCTGCGAACCATCTCCTCTGCATCCTCCCTCGCACTCTTTGCAGAATCTGCCCTCTGCTGTTCCTCTTCCGCTCTCAAAAGCTCCTCTGCAACCCTCGCCCTCTCCGCTGCCTCCCTCGCACGCCGCGCCCCCTCCTCTCTGCGTAGTGTCGCCTCCGCCTCCTCCCTTACCCTCTCTGCGGCTTCAGCCCTCAGTCGTTCCTCCCTCTTTTTCTCTTACGCGGATTTTGATCCTTCTGCAGCCTCTACTGCACGCTGCTCATCCGCCATTTTACGTGACCTTGCCTCTGCCTTCTGCCGTTCCTCCTACGCTCTCTTCCTCTCCTCTGCGGGCTTCGCCCTCTCTGCCGCCTCAAGTGCTCGACGCGCCTCCTCCTCCTTGTGTGCGTTTGTTTCAGCATCTGCACTCTGCCGTTCCTCCACCCCTCGTTTTTTCTCCTCTGCGGCCCTGGCCCTGGCAGCTTCCTCCCGTACACGACGATTGACCTCCTCTATGCGTCTGAACTCCTCTGCCATCGCATTCGCCTTCTCTGCAGCCCCAGCCATTGCTGCCTCTACCATTTCCCGGTCCGGCACGTCTGGTCCTGGCCTAGTATCATGCGCGCTGCGGCGCACCTCCTCTGCATCCCCGGTACCTGCAACGTCTACCTCTATCGTCACCCTCTCTGCTGGCGCACCCCCCTCCCCCACCGTCTCTCCTACGTGAATTGCGCCACACTGGATTGACGTTGTACCTTTGCGAGTGTATACAAATGTAGATGGTGCCTGCCCAACTGTTGTTCGCAATATCTCATGGTCGTGTTCGGTCCGTAGATTCGGCCCCTCGATTTCAACCTCCGATGCTTCCTCCTTCAGCGGTAAACCACCTCTCGCAATCCCTTTATCGGGAAGTTCCATCAGAGCTTCGCCGTCTGTACCATCCCCTTGCCCCACCCCACTTACATTCCCGTCGGCTTGCGTCTCGTCGTCGTGGTCGTCGATGCGCACTGTGAATAACCTGTCACACTCGCCCACAAGCCAATCCCGTACCTTATCCTTTATGCGCGAGCCCTTGCCGAGTGTTACAAATGTGTTATCCCACTGGAGTTGTAGAATCTCGTCCCATTTCTCAAGCAACTTTGTCCATGCATGGGCGACTTGAAGGCCCGAACCTGGTTGTGCCCATCCGAGATTTGTCGTCATCTGCCAGCATTGAGAAAAATGTACATGTGTTAAAGTGTTGTAACTCAAACCCATTATATCGGCCTAGACTATATTGGATGCATTTATAACTCACCCCCCCTAGAAATTGGAGATTCAAGCCCACCAGCCGCGCTTTCATGTCGCGGACCAGTTTCTTGTCGTTCTTAGAGCTATTGCCTTCAATGAACGCGGTGAACTCCACAATCAGTTGCTCCTGCAACCACCTGTAGTCAAACACACAATCTAGGTCAGATTCCGGGGCCATATACTTGCAACCCAATAGACAGCTTGACTTACTGTAAAACTTCTTGAGCAAATCCGCCGTGAGAGTGCATCGGAACACCACTCTTGGGATCAAAGTAGATGATGCGAGTACGGTCTTTCCTACCGGTGGTAGAGAGGAGATCGCATAGAGCTAAGAGAACGAGGAGGCTTATCGCCGCTTTAGGTTTGCTGCTCAATCTGCACAAACCCAAAGAGCAAGGTTAGAAAACATTGCATTCCGTTAGTAGACTGCAGTGAAAACGAGGTATCACTTACTTGGACCATAGCGGGAATACGAGGGCGTCTTTGGTCAGGAGGCCGTCTGTTGGCTTCTTCGAAATAGCCTTCGGATGAATGAGTTAGTCCGCTTGGTACGAAGGATGCAGAGAAGATCAAAATCTTCTGCCTTTGCTGTATGGGTAGCAGACTCTTGGTTATTGCCCTGCATGGACAAGGTTGGTAGTAAAGAAGATGTCGGTTTCAGTGGACGCGCAATTGATGCGAACGCCTGAAAGTAATATACACATTAAACACATGGCTGAATATGTACTTACAAGATGAAGAAGTTAAGAAGATCCTCTGACCACTCTTTCTGCGAGCTGCTTTAAGTGTCGTAGTCTTCATTGGTTATGCTAACCTTCATGCCGCAACCCCTAAGCAGAGGTAGGTCGGCCATGGGTAGCGCGACCTATATCCTCTACTCGCTGAGCAGTCGCGGCTTTGGAATTACTCAGTCGCTATCTAATGTCCGAACGCCATCTCCGCCTAAGGTTGTTGAAGCACAGTTACTCGGTGAAGCTAGTATAAGACTTCTCAGGGGGATCTCTGCATTCTGGGCTTTGGAATCAAGATTGGCTGCAAAATTTGGGTGTTGAAGTTGGTTGATGGACACGGCAGCTGATATGGATTGAATCGCTGTATTCCGAGCAGAGTGGTAGTGCGTGATGCAACATCGATTGGGTCGTGTTCACCAACGAAGAATGGAGCCTCTTGTTTTTGGTTTGGCGAATCTTTTAACAGCCATCACATAAGACGTCGAGGTGTGCCGCATCTACTGTCTTGCTTAATTGTTCTAGGTGGTCAAACCCTTAGTTTCAAAATCGGATTTGCATAACAACCATTCTGTCTGAACGAGAACCTGCTGTCTCCCTCGGAGGTTGCTGTTTAGAAGGTGGGGAAATCCGCTCCACATCTGCGACCGCAAATCACGTGCCTCTGTTGTTGAGGAGGTTCTGCCAAGAATCGACACGTGGCGCCATCACACAAAGCCCTTATCTACACAGCGGATGTTGTTGCGGACTTCTGCACCGCAAAACCTTGCACGCGTTTAGAGATAACCAGCAGAAGTTTTGGTAGGGCTGCCCGGAAAAATATTTGTGGCAAATAGGATCGCCAGATCTGTGCCAGCCTTTGGAAACTTGCGCGCCAGATAGAATCTGACACGAAGTGTGTCGGAGAAGGTCTTTGAGCCAATAAACACTGCCATATGCAGTCAACCCGATACTGACTCTACAAGTCGTGCTAGTACTCAAGGTTGCACCTAGACGCGATAACAATGTAGTATAATGTGAAATAATGTAATGTAATTGTGTGTTATACAAAGACTTTGGATAAACAAATAAATGAAAATACATAGTGCCCATCGACTGATGAGAACCCTCATCGACTAAACGTAGAGAAATGGTGCACAAATGTGAACCCTCATTCTGTTCTAACACTGTACCATCACAATGCCCTTCACTTTTAAGTCTAAGTACGGGCTTGAAAACCCTCGAAACTTATTTTGTGAAAAAAAAAAAAAAAACCAACAACAACAACACAACAACAACAACAACAATTTTGGAGTGACTTGAATCTGAGAGGTGTTGGTGTAAGGGCCTAATAAAATCAAGCTATTAGGACTTAATCAAACTTAAAACCTCTCCTCGGGGTCACCTCCAAGGGTCCCTGGGTGCCTGGTACAAGACCAGCCCCTATCCTCGGGTCCGAGTTTGTAGAGAGAGGGATCAAGAAGGACTTAGTCAAAACAGCAAGAGTACCTTGAACGTCGCGCAGCGTGCCGTGCAGACCGTCGGTCGGATTAAGCTGAGAATTCGCTATATCGAAGCTCGCTCCAAGAGCTTTAAAATGAGCCAAGTTGCCTCGCGAAAAGTTCTGCCATTACTAAGTTATGGCTCGGACAGCGTTTGCCTAGCGTTGGAGTGCTAGCATACTAGCGTTGACTCGGGTAGCATTCCGCCGTCGAATAGCGCAGAAACGAAATTCCAGCGAGGAAGGAATTCGCTTGAATCAATTTTACTATATTCAGGTACAAACAGAGAAGGATTAAATAGTTCTAGCTAGCAAGGACCTTGGGAATCAACCTGGGAACAACCAGGGATGATCCCAAATAATTCCAAGCAACAGAACCAACCTGGCTGGACAAAATAGCAGGTGGTAGGTTGGTAAACAACCTCTGGTTCTGTTTTTCCAACCTGGGAAAACAACAACCAGGTTCAGGTTCTAAAAACAGAACCTGTTTTGTCTTTGCCCAACCAGCCAAATGCTGGTTCCGCTGGTTTCCCCTGGCCTTGTAGCATGCAGATACAGACAAACAACATCCAACCTTCACCTAAATTGTACCCCTATAGTGCCTCCCCTGCTACACTATAGTTAACCAAACAAAACAGTACAATTCCGAGTTGGATAGAACTGAATCTGCGCAATCAACTCAACCGAACTGCAAAGCTTCCATCTTGGGTTCCTTTGCGAGCTCGTCCTTTCTGCTTGCATTGTTCATAGCGCATACAATGTTGTGCCGAAGCGCACATTGCGCGAGTACCTGCAAATGCATCAAGCGAAAAATGCAAAAGCAAACAAACACACGAACACACCATTCACACGCAAATGCATTCGCACACGCATACTCGTACAAACAGACGGCAGGATGTCGTGCAATGTGCATTTGCACCCAATACACTCCCCCTCAGCCTGCCGGCTGCATCCCCGTCATTCCATGCTAGTTCATGCTCATTCCACTCATGCGCACACAACGCCAATGAGGCTCATCCGCAAGCCTCTTGGTGAGAAAGTCTGCTGGCTGCTGGTGAGTCTTGATGTAGATCGGATGCACCGTCCCCCTCTTCACCTCCTTACGCAGCCAGTGCCACTTGATACGCATGTGCTTGTTCAGCCCATGAAGCACAGCGTTTCTGGCCATCCCAAGAGCCCCCTTGCTATCACAAAACAGCGGCGTAGCAACTTTCTGCTCCTGGCCAATCTCCTCTAACAGCCTCCTCAGCCAAATCACCTCCTTCACCCCATGGAACATCGCCATGTACTCTGATTCTACGGAAGAGAGTGCCGTCTCCGTCTGCTTCTTGGACCTCCAACTAACAGGTCCTCCCCCAACTACGCAGATGTATCCTCCCACAGATGAGGAATCCTCCTTCTCAGAAGCCCACGTAGCATCGGTAAAGCAAGTGAGAAATAGCTTGCCTTCTCCAAGCCTCTCCCCCTTCTCTTTCAGCACCTCCACCCCTTTCTGCTTCACCTGTGCAGATGCGGAGTATTGAACTCCAATGCTTGGGTGAGAGTTCAGGTACTTCACCACACGCTCAGCTGCATCCACCTGCTCCTCTGATGGATTCTGCACCACCCTAGCCAGCTGCCCAACCGAGAAAGAGATGTCGGGCCTCGTGTGAACTGCTGCGTACAAGAGGCTGCCCACCAAGGACTGAAATTGCTGCTGCTCTTCAGCTTCAATCCCTTCATCCTCTGCAGCCTTCACAAGCTTGAATTCTGCTGGCAGGGGAGTTGCAACCTTGCGCTCATTCTCAATCCCATACTTCTCCCCCAGCTCCTTGATGAACTTCTCCTGGTGCAGCTTCAACCACCTGTGATCTGGATCCCTCTCCACGTGCATCCCGAGGTAGTACTTTACCTCCCCAAGGTTCTTGCATTTGAAGTTTTCCATCAGTTGCTGCTGCACTTTCTGGATCTCCTTCATGCTGCTGCTGAAGAGAAGAATGTCGTCCACATAGACCAGAAACAGCACCAGCTTCTCCCCCTCGCCCTTGAGAAAGAGGCTCTCATCACAGCTGCTGGTCCTGAATCCCATCTCCTCTAAAACAGCTGCCAACTTCTGGTACCAGCAGCGTGGCGCCTGCTTCAAGCCGTAGATGGACTTGTTGAGCTTGCACACCCTGCCCGTACCATCCTCATACCCAGGCGGCTGCGTCATGTACACATCCTCCTCTAAAATCCCATTCAGGAATGCCGTTGAAATATCCATCTGAATGATGAATTTCCCACTAACAGCTGCATCTGCCAACAAGACACGGAGGGTAGGGGGTTTGGCAGTGGGAGCAAAGATCTCGTTGAAGTCCTGCTTCTCCTTCTGCATAAACCCCTTCGCCACCAGCCTACTCTTGTAGATGGTGACCTGCCCCTTGTCATCGGTCTTGATCCTCAGCACCCACTTGCATTGTATCGCTTTCTTCCCATCAGGCAGCACCACCAGATCCCATGTCCTATTCTCCAGCAGACTCTGGTACTCAGCATCCCTAGAAGCCAGCCACTTGTCCCTATCTGGTCCAGCTAATGCCTCCTCCATGCTAGCTGGTTCCTCTGGTGCAGGGGCAAGAAAACAGTACGCAGGCTCATCCTCCTCATCCGGGTCATAGCCATGAGGTAGAATCAGCAATGCCTCTTCGGTCCCTAGCTGCTGCTCTGCTGCATCAGTTCCTGCAGTCAGCTTCTTAGTAGCCATACGGGTACGTCCTGGCCTGGAGACGGGTGTCTCCCATCCCTTCATAACGACACCCTTCGGCTTCTTAGTTTTTCCCTGCTGCTTTTCTCCTCCCTCGGGTCCAGCAGCTCCACTAGTGCTGCCGCCAGTTTCCACACCATTTTCTCCACCAGCAGATGCCTCCTGTACCTTCTCTCCATCACCATTTCCAGCAGCTGCCTCCTCTCCCTCCTCCCACACACTAGGAGTCAGGTCCAGCTGCATGATGATCT